ATATATATATATATATATATATATATATATATATATATATATATATATTGGTGCATCTAATAAAGGCTTCATGTTGCGTACTTATGCAAATGGGTAAAGTAATTTGCATATGCTTCAACACAATACAAGGCTCGCATTTTGGAACTTGCATCGATATATTTGCACTTAAGATTTAGAGGCATTACCTTTATGGGAAGAAATATAAACTCTACACTTTACACTTTGCACAAATCACAAAATTTTACAATTTGCTTTCACTAGAAAAAAATACTTGAACATGAGAGAAAGTATGTGGATATAAGTGACTATGACCGTGAAATCAACTATAATGCATAAAATCTAATGTTGTAGTCGATGCTCTAAGTCAAAAGACACACGTAAAGTCAATCATGGGAAGATCGATGCGAATAAATTTAATATCAAGTATAATAGAAAAAAAATTCTTGGTAAGGCTACGATTGTGTGTTGCAAATGTTGTTGTTGAAACTCGTTGGATCTGGAACCTTCTTTTGAGAACTTCATTCACTGCTTGGTAAGGTTATTATTGTGTATTATGATAATGTGAAGTGTTGTTTACCTATATAACAATCTTGTGCAACATCAAAGAACAAAATATATCAATATTTACATCAACTTTGTCCATCACAAAATGGACACAATCCAATTACACGCTCATCATGTACCTTCCATACTTCAGCTTGTGAACATATCCACGAAGGGACTTCGTATCTCTCTTTTCACGGATGTCAGAAACAGCTTGAATGTTCGTTCTCAACCTTCTGAGCAAACTGTGTGGGCATATTAATGGACATACATTATTCTTGTATATTTAGAGTCAATTGTATATTAGATATATATATATATATATATATATATATATATATATATATATATATATTTCGTTATCCCTTTATTTAGTTGATTGGCTTTGTATTGTATTTAATTTGTTGTTAATGCAATTGATCAGTGATGTGAAATTACCAAAACAAATAGTCATGCATTAATGGAAGCTATAGCAACTACGCTATTTTTATATACGATGTGTTTTATCAAAGAGGTTGGGTCATCTTTAAGCGAATTCACTTACGTTACAACAAACAGACTTCCGTACAAGTCATGATGAGTAAAATTCCAAACGCATGGATCTATCATATATGTCAGGTGGTGTATTAAAGCTAACATGTCTTATGTTTTAAGTGTGACAAACACATACCAATCTGATCTCCGTGGAAGTCACTAGATGGTCGTGAAAACATTCTTAAGTAATTGTGAAAGACTAAATATACATGTTTAGTATATGGACGACTTGATGAGGAGTTGTGTTTAAGAGGTTACATGGATGAGATCTTGTAAACCGACATAGATGATTTCAAGTCTCGGTTTGATTTTATTTTTTTATTAAATGAACTTCTATAAGATGAAAGGGTTTGAAAGCAAGACAAATATGGCAATTCTACTACATAAGTTGAGTATATACATAAGCATGTGATGTAGAAAAGAAAGTTGCCTTGATTAGGAAACCTGTTGTAGACCTTGGAATCGCTTGCGGTATCTCAAATTCAATTGAAATTCTTTGTGACAATACTAGTGAAAATGCTCAGGCAAAGGAATCAAGATCCATCAGAAGTCCAAACATATATTCAGAAAATAACATCTCATCCTTGATATTGTTGATAGAAACAATGTTAGAATATATATAATTATCAAATGTCATGTTGTCTAGGGGTACAGGAATTAATAGAAAGGTGCCCCTCAACCAAATATTAAGGTTTCAAATCTTGCATGAGAAGAAAATATAGATTTAGGAGTAAAATAAGGAGTATCTGAGTTAGTGGTCTAAAAAGTTTTATTTAAACAATTTTTATATCTATCTTTTCAAAATAATATTGTTTTAAGATTCCTTGGTATTTTATGTTATTCAATTTTTAGAGTAAGTTATCTTTTTGGTCCCAAAGCTTGTTAAAATGTCAGTGGTCCATAGACTATAGTTTTATCTTGCAATTTCTCTGCCTATTCTCAGTTAGTAACATTTTTGGTCCCTATAGCTATACGCTAAGCGCCAAAATTGCAAGTTTAATAACAAAAATCATAGAACAATTGAAACAACCAGGTACCATAAGTGCAAAGTAAAACTATATAGAATATATTTCAAACGAACATTAAATTATTTACATGAAACTTATTACATACATTAGTGATACTTATATTTTACTTTAATTAAATTTTACTTTACAAAAATAACATTACTCTCTTCTTAATCACTTTACTTATAAATAACAAACAACACCATGTTTGAATGACTCATTCCATATGTGAAAACAAACCAAACATGATAAACAATACAACAACCCATTCCAATTCCAATCTCATTCCGTCATTCCATTACTTTCTCAATTCCAATCCTTTACAATTCCATTCCATGATTCAAAGTCCTAACAACAAATGTAAAACCACTCCCACAATACACCTTTGATGTCATATCTTGATGTTGACCAAATGTTACAACTTGTGGACTTATCTCATCACATGTCTTCCCTAATCCAAGTTGACCATGTTCACCCCATCCCCATGTCATCACCACTCCATTTTCTACATAAAATTTACACTTTTTTTTTAATTAATAATAAAGAAGCAAATAATAATAATAATATAAACCCAAAATTCTTGCCTGTTGTAAGGACAGAATGCTCTGATCCCGATGCAATTCCAACAACTTTTATCCCATCAAGTCCATGAATTTTTTCCACATGGGCTTCGTTTGAATCCTCTGTAAATCAAACAAGATTATAAAAAATTATAATTTTTATAAAATTTTGTGTTATGAGTTTCTTTATTTGGTACATACGTTTGACCGAATTGTCCTTTTGAAGGCTGTTAAGAACCCCATGATGCCTGCCACCTAGCATAACAATTTCCCCTTCATCTGTAATAAGTTTAGTTACAAGAATTAATAAACAATGACACTATTTTATTATTTTATATATATAAATTTGATTTTTTTTTAAATTTTACCTGTTAATATTAAGGCATGATTCCAACCAAGGGCAGCCTGTGTGAATGAGAATGGTGAAATTACTAAATTGGGACTAGACACATCTGCTTTACTTCCAAATCCTCTTCCCCAAGTGTACAAATCACCATTTTCTAACAACAAAATGTGATTAAAATATTAAAAATAAATGGAAAAGAAATTATGATTAGTGAGATGTGAGATGTGAAGTTTCTTTAACTTAAATTATTACTATCAGTCTATCACTAACCAGATAATGCTGCACTATGATCTCCATTTGCAATGATACTATTAATATTGATTTCCTTCAATCCTGTAACACTTTGTGGAAGATTTATTGATTTGACTTTGTTAGATATTCCTAGTTGACCACGTTTTCCATATCCAAAACCATATATTTGGTCTCCATAATCTAAAAATTCAATCATATAAGCAAAGAAACAAGCTTTTATGGATAATAAAAGAATACTCACAAATCACAACTATCAAGATTACCTTTCAACAAGACTAATGAATGACGCATCCCACATGCAATTTGGTCAACATGTTTGGATGAAAAGAATGAGACTTTGACTGGATAACTTTGTGACTTGTAATCACCATGTCCAAGTTGACCAAATTGCCCATCTCCACAAGTAAAAAGTTGTCCACATTCTAAAAGCAAATAAAGAAAAATCAGATTAACCAAGTTATGTGGTTTAGGTTTTTTTGTTGCAACTCAAGAACATGATCAATATTGTTAAAAATGACACTTTCAAGAACTCTCAAGTGAGTACAAACCTGAAACAAAACCTGAGTGATTCCATCCAGCTGAGACATGAGTTATATTGAATTCATTTAAAGCATCAATAATTTTTGGTTCTAAGCTATTGACAAGATTTCCATGGCCAAGTTGTCCAGATGTACCCCTTCCCCAAGTCAACACTTTTTTATCTGTAAAGAAAGAGAGAACACTTGCATAAAGATAAAAACAAATGGCATACATGTAAATAAGGGGAGAATAAGGGGGTATATGAGGATACCTGGTGTAAGGGCAATGACATGGGCCCCACCACAAGAAAGGAGAGATAAAGAAGGAAGGATAGGGAGAAGTTGAGGAAGGTGTTCATCTTGAAGCTTGCCTGTTCCTAGTTGTCCCTCTGTACCTGCTCCCCAACTCCATACTTGTTCTTCTTTTTCTTCTTCTGTATCTTTCACTCTTTCATTTGCTTCCATTTTGGTTTTACTTATTTGTGATCAAGTGGTGGATTAAACTCCAGAAATATGTTTGTTATAAATCAAGGTAATTTGAGAATCATACGAGTGTTAATCCCATTGGTCAATGAAGATGAAAAGAACTTGATTATGATCGATATTGTGAAGGTTGGATGCCTAAAAAACACATTAATCAGATGGATAAGTTCGACACTAAGAAACTCAAATCACAAATAACTTAAAATTAGGACCTAATGTGCAACAATCCAGGTGATTGCTTTTCCATAAGTGTTTAATCAAGCAACAAGTGTATTTTATGCATTAAGAATCATCCGTTATTCTAAATATGTACGTATGTTCATTTCAATTTCGTTGATGAGTATTCTTCTCAGTTCTCATACAAATGCGCAGTATAAGTGAGCATGATACAACTACCGATCAATCGAACGACACATTCTCATGTAAGCATATAACAATTTCGCGTATCAGATTTCTTCCACGAAAATGCAAACTTACCTAAAGTGTGATAGATGTTTACATAAACCAAAAAGTTATAGAAGTAAACCCTAAAAACCTAAATGAAGAGGAAAGAGGAGTATGAGATTATCAGAAGATGGGGAATATGATACCTTGAAGAGTGGTCTAAGAATCAAAAGCTTGTTTTTGCAGCTTCTTCACTTTCGTGCATCAATGGCAACAGGGCACCCATACTATGGTCTCAATTTTGACTTTTGATTTCCTTTATTTGACTTCCAAAAGATAGTTGTCAATTTGTAATGCCTTTATTTATGGGTTTTTGTTGTACAGAGTTTATAGGCTTTTGTAGTTTTTATTTGAAGGGAACACGTTTTTTTAGTTTCTAATGCCTTTATTTATGGGTTTTTGTTGTAGAGTTTATAGGCTTTTGTAGTTTTTATTTGAAGAGAACTCTGCTTTTTTTAGTTTCTATATATGTTTTACATATTTACATAGATACTACATCAACACTTGTAACGTTATTACGTTATTATTATTTTTTTGAAACGGCAAATAGGCAAATATATAGTGTAATAAAAGGTCACCACGATTAGCAAGTAGCCAATACGTGGGACACGTGAAAGAGTACAATGATTGTTTACAATTGGAGATTATAAAAACAGACACACTCTGATCTACCTAACCAAGAGATTTCATATATTTAATCCAAACATAGGCTTGTAAGATGACATTATCCGTAATCTTGGTTCGAGGTGTACCTTGATATTTTAAGATCTTGTTGTTCCTTGCTAGCCAGGTATGCCAAAGAAGGCAAAAGAAAACAACACTAAGAGTACTCCTTTTTCGAGGACAATGGCCACATGCCGCTCCAAAATATGTGAATTCTTACACCATTGAAATTTGTCAACTTGGAATACTGCACCACTTAAACACCCAGTCAAGTCACGAGCCTCCTGTGCCATATTACACCTTATAAGAAGATGATCTTCTGTTGCCGATTCAATACCACACAACGGGCATAAACAGTTTTGGACCAATATACCCCTACGTGCCAAATTGCTTGCCATGGGTAATCTACTCTGCACAACCCTCCATACGAAGCACCTCGCCTTTAAGGGTATTCCTTTATTCCAACAAATCAAAGGTCCACCAGAGAAGAGATTCCAGGTTTTGAGTCAATTATTTTTCTCATTGTGCCAAGAATGTACATGCCATCTAGATTGGGGTTGAAGCCAAATCCCCCTGTTAAATTCAACCTTGGCATATTTGTGATTAAGGAGCATAGATTTGATAAATCAAAATATCATTCAAGCAACATAATTGAGAGTTCCATTGCCACGAACAGGTCGAATTGTCGATTCTTTCACTGACATAGCACCGTTTTATCTTTTCTAACTCGTATAGTCTCGGGAACCTTTCTTGGAGGGTTATGCTTCCACACCAGATGTCCTTCCAGAACAAGATGTCCATGTTGGAATGAGGGATTAGAGAAAACAACGCGTTTAGATCGATTTGGGTCTCTGGAAGACTAATGGCCTTTTGGATGTTGCACCATGCTCCTGTGGTGGATTTTTTTTTTTTTTTTTGCGATGTATGTTAGCAGTTTCCTCTTTAGATTGTGTATGCTATCTATGCATACTTTCTAAATATTATCTTTCTCTAGCTTTAATCGTCACCACCATTTAGTGAGAAGAGCTAGGTTTTGTGCCTGTAGATTTCTGACTCCAAGCCCGCCTTTTTTTTTTTTGAAGCTACAATCCTTTCCTGAGAAACCTAATGAATTCTTGATTTCGAATCATCACCACTCCATATAAATCTACGCCTCATCTTTTCCAACTCATCAGTTATGTCATTAGGAGCAGGGCCGGCCCATGAGGGAGGGCACGTTGGGCGACCGCCCCGGGCCTTGCCAAATCTCGGGGCCCCCAACAATTAGTGTATATATATAGTTTTAGTATATAAAATATAAGTTGCAAAATAAAACCAAAGGCACCTGCAGATGAGATGGTTGAGGGGTGTTATACATTGAAGCGGAAGGTTTGACTACCTGAGTTCGAACCTCTTCAACTATTTGTATTTTTTATCACTTATTTTTTTATATCTGAAACGTTCATATGGATATTTTTTTTTTATTACTTTTATTACGAATGCTTTATATCTGAGATGTTCGCATTGCGACGACTCAGTTTTCAAGAAAAACAGATTCGCCCTTCAGACTTCTGAATTAATGGCTTTTTACTGATCTTCCGTCGTCGGCTTGTCGCATGCATATGCTTCTTTAACTCTTTCTCTCCTTTCGGTTAGTGATGTTGCATCCCTATGCTTCGTGAACTATTTCTCTCCTTTCGTTTAGTGATGAGATATCCAGATCTTCAAGCACTTCCTCATGGAGGTTATTTATTTTATCTTATGTTTTTATATCAAAAAGATACTCACTCGTATTTTTTATTTAACATAATGATTGCTAAATGCTAACTAATTGATCTGTTTTAGTTTTCTTATGGCAGGAAATGAGATTAGGGTTAGACCGTCGGTATCAAATATTCATTTTATTCAATATCTATTTCTTTTTTAATTTAAGGATTGCTAGCTTTACATCACACTATATTCTAAGCATATTTTGTACCAACTTAAAATATGTGATGTTTCCAAAAATTAATCTTTAGTTTGAATTTGATAGGCAGCCAATTGAATATCTTGAATTTATTTTGAAAGAAGAGGACGGGTTGGTATTAATGGATGATGTTAAAGAGACACGAAAAAGGGTTTTAGAAGTTACGACTGATCTCTTTTTGTTTATTAATGTGTTTGGTTATACCACTGAATCGATGGAAGCTCCTAGTGTTGTTTTACAGTTATCTTGATATTCCTTTAGTAGTTGTTTGATGTCTGGATGAAAAATGTCAAAGTGGAATGTCTTTTTGAGATAATGAAAAAGTTTGATGTTATTGTTTGCTTAAAAATAGAGCTAATATTCACAAAATGATATTGTTCACAAAGACTTTCATATTTTCTATCAAATGGGCTTGAATTGATGTCTCTTTGCAAGATTAAATTGTTCATTGTCACTGTGTTTTGGATTGCATTGTTTCATTTTAGGCTATTGTTGCTTAATGTGTTTTTTTTCAATACCTGATGATTAGATTTAGAGCCTAAAATTTATTGAAAGTTATGATGTTTTTTCTAATATTTTGCCTTCATTTATTGGAGAACATTCTTATTTTTTAAAATTGTATTTGCAATCTCCCTGCTTGCCGTTTAATATATAAAATCTCTTGCCCTAAAAAAACAATATTTTTCTAAATTTTAAGGGGCCTCAATATTTGCTTTTGCCCCGGGTCCTAAATCGGCTTGGACCGGGCCTGATTAGGAGTTTTAAAGATAGAAAAGTAATACGTAGGTATACTGTTTAGGACAAGTTCTATTAACGTGAATCTCCCCCAAACGATAGTGTTTTTGCTTTCCATGTTGCCAACCTTGATTGAAATTTCTCAATTACCGGCCTCCAATGTTTTTTTCGGTAACATGTTTGCTCCAACTGGGATTATTATTAGGGTGGCAAAATTTATGATGGGAGTAGAAATATATAACTTATAACAATTCTTCCGAACAAAGTTAATAAGATTTAATATGAGATATATATATTTTTTGTTGGGGGTTGTTCATTACAAATATGTTACAGTTTTTTAACAACATGTTTAAAGGTGCTCTTTTTTGACTAACCACGCCATGTACAGACTGGTTCGCTATTGATATGAGTTATTCTTAGAGGTCTAGTGCTCAAGCTAGCTGAGTTGTGGTTATTATTTATGTTGTTGAAAAACCAACAACATCAATTCAAAAGATAGTGCATATACAAATCTTTTAAGTGGGCGAAAGAGATGTTTAAGGTGTTTATCCACATATATTGAATGATACTTTTTCACAATTAAAATTGTGGTAGAGAACAATTATAAAATGTAACGTCTTTTATCATTTTTAATGTTAATGTAATTTTTCGGGAAAATTTTGTATATGAACTTTTTAAATATAAAAATATCATATTTGTTCACCCTAACTTCTAAATATCATATTTATCATTTATAAACTTTCAAAAATTTATATTTGCCTAAATAATTTTTTTACCACCTTTTAAATATTTTATACTTATTTTTTCATATTATAAATTCATAATAATGGTATTGAAGCCGCAGCTAAACCACCTAAGGCAGCATCTTAGTATTGGGTATTGTTCATATGCCAATAACTAAATTAATATTTATAATAATTATTAAAAAAATTGACCATACTCCATATTTTTAAACACGTGTGATATCAACAAACATATGTCATACGATGGTTTCTTCGGAAACCTCCAACAGTACCAAAAATTAAAAAACCGATAGTGAGTTCAGAGTAGAAGATACAATGGAGAAATTTACCCACGTCTAATTACCTTTAATTCATTTTGTTTGGCATTTTATTTATTGATTAGCTTTGGCTTGTATTTGCTTGTTGTGTTGATGTTAAGTAGTATCCTCTATCCCGTATTATTTTGAGTAGGCTAAACATGAAAATCAATTAATCATCACGTCAGTGGTAACTAAAACTTCAAAGAAAAGACTCACCAATATAGGCTTTGGAAGATGGAAGCCGATTTGATGGATTGCAATCCTTCAAATCTCTTGACCATTATCCCATGTCCCCTATAGCTTTTGATTCAATGTGATTAGACAATTGTGATGTAGTTTTTTTGAGGTACATGATGTTATTTTTTAGATAGAAGATGTGATAATGTTTTCTCAGTATCTAAATAATATAGTTATTCTAAGGGAGGAGGGAGTCGTTTCCTCCCAACCCATTGAACCCACTGTCACATCAATTTTTGTATCTTATTTTTCTTCATCTTTCCCAACCCACAACACATGGAAATCCTATCTTTCTCAACTCATTCAATTAAAAAAAATACAAAACAATTAAGGTACAAGTTTTAAAATACATGGTACAAGAGAAAATGAAAGAGAGAAAGTAGAGAGAGATAATAAAGTGGGTTCCAATTAACCAACCCGTTGAAACGGAAGTGGTACCGCCGGTAACTCTATTGTTAATTAAGATTTTACATTTGATTATTTTGTATTTTTTTTTTTAATTGAATGGGTTGAGTGGGTTCAAAAAGATAGGGTTTCTGTGTGTTGTGGGTTAGGAAAGATGAAGAAAAATAAAAGAAAAAAAGTGATGTGACAATGGATTGGAAGGAAATGACTCCTTCCTCCCTAATGGAAGAGAAAATGAGAGTTCAGTTTATATTTTTTTCAAGAAGAAAATTGATTTGGATGTTGAAAAACACTCGTCAAAGTGGAAAAGGACATCCCTTGATCATAGAAAGTGATAGTGAATTAGTGATATAATATGGTCAGAAACTCTAAGTACACACCACTAATTCCACGTTTGAAGCGAGTCCAAATGGATAGTTGTAACTTTGACATTATTAGGGTTAGGTCTATGTGAAAAACGATTAAAATAATAATTTAGGTAATATGATATTGTAAAATTTTAAAAACGATATAAATGAAATTTTAAATTTATATTTATGAGAAAGGTATAATAATCTATTGGTAAAAATATAATTTAAAATTGTAGCATGTTTAAATAGGTTAAAAAAAGATTTAAACAAATTCACATAAATAAATATAATATTAAAAAATTAGGTTGATCAATATTATAATATGTTCTTCCTAACTTTTTAATCAAATTTTGTTTTATTTCATAACATCATAACTACATGATTTTCATGTGGACCTTTTATTAGGTCTGCCACTAATAAGGCTATTAAATTCATTAGCTTACTCATTTGTGCAAACTTTGATTATGACTAAAATATATATTACTCATTTGTGCAAACTTTGATTATGACTAAAATATATATTAAAAAAAGAAGTAAAAAATCACAAGGCTCTAAAAAGTAGTATTTTTCAACAAGCTTTGTAAAATCATTTAACATCCATCTTATACCCTAATTCAAGAACCAAGATTACAAAAATCACCCCCATTATTTATAGCTCTATTTATCCTACCCAAACTGTCACAGTTTGATGATCAACAAAATCTACACCTTTAATGAAACCATGAATTAGCCAACATAAAATAAAAATCCAAACAAATTATTACAAATTAACACAACTCAAAAATCAAAACCCCATAAGAGCAACTAATAAATTACCATCAAATTATTATTAATGATGTTACAAACTTTTACAATTCTAGGCTATTACTTCAAGAATCCTTCAAATCAAGAACAATATACAAGTCTTATAACTTCTTGATGTACAAATCATCTTATCAGAATTATACTTTAATTTGAGCATCAATGTCACAAAATATCATCATAAGCAACAATTTCCCTACCTCGTATTTGAAGATTCAGACCTTTTCTTCTTCCACTACTGCTCTCAATCTCATTGCTGATGGTTGTGTTACCATCTTTCTTTTCATCTCTGGAGTTCACAATCACAGACCCAAGCTTGTTCCCTCTTCCATGTCTGCTAAGAGGTAACTCTGGTTTCAATAGCTTTGATGACGACGAATAACCTTCTCTCTTTTTAACCCCTTCCCTCCATTGTGGCACTGGATCAGTCGCCCACATCACTTGCACCTACAACATTACAAAATCATTAATTTAGTTTTCTATCAGAATGTGATCTTTTTGGAGATCATAAACCTAATTGATGAAAATGTTCATTCTAGTCAACGGATCTTCTTTTCGTACATGAATTTTTTCTGTAAAGCAAGTGAATTTTTAATCGAATGAGTAAGATTGAGAGTTACCCTAGTGGAATGGAGAGTGATGCCGAAGGAGGGATCGAGTGAAGCGGCGATGGCGGATTCAGCAGAATCTCTTGAACGAAAGGTGATGTTGGCGACACCGCCGGAATCCATGCGTGTTCGGGAAATCGATCCGTAGATCTCGAATCTGGACTTGAGGTCAAGGACGGAGCAGTTGGAGGAAAGGCCAGTGACTACGACTGCAGTGTTGGTGTTACCGGAGGATGTTGGTTTGTCTTGAAAGTAGTCATCGCCGTCGGTTGCCGGATCGGAAGGGAGAGGACGGCGGCGTTTGGGGAAGTTGTAGGGCGTGTGGCGGGAGAAATAGGGTTTATCTCTCTTTCTGTTATTCATGGTGCGTTTGTGAGTTGTGGTTTGGTGGTAGGATGAAATTCGGGGCTATTTTCAAGCTAAATTACTGAATTATTCTTTTCTGATTTATATATCATATTAAATGTACTGGAAATATACTTTAATGATATAATTTATTAATGACAAAATTTCATAATTCGTCCTTGTCGTTTATTAAAAGTATCATTTTAAGGCACAACTATCAGAAACGTTTCATATTTGTTCTCATGGTTTTAAATTGTTTCAATTTCTTTTAGACATAATTTAATATTTTCTTTAACCAATTTAATTTAAAAATAATAATAAGAATAAAATTCAACCCATTCACTGTCTTCGTCAATCTTTCACCATCTTTCGCATCTTTCTTTCTATCCTAACCTCAATTGACAACTCTTCTCTATCTTTCGGCACTGCTCTTATCCATCATCACTACTATCACTACCTTAATTTTTGTCGATAAGTTCCTATTTTGTTTTCACTCCTTTGTCAATATTAAGTTAATACGGTTGTTGGTCACGACTATTTTCATACATACACTGTTGGTAGATATGATTTGAGATCACTTCTCTCGTTTAGAGACGAAACCCACATGGGCATACTATATGTATCACCTCCTTCCTTTTCATACATGGGTCTTCAAAAATTTAACAAAGTTAATAATACACTATTTAAGAGAGGTCGAACAAAGAAAATAACAAAAGAGGATAATATAGAGGATAAGTCTTAGTAAAACATAGAAACAACTAATGTAGCTGTGTATGGGTAGGGTTATAGTCTCTATGTTGAAGTACAATTAAAAGTATTTTTTTATGTGATTGAGATATATTAGGAATTAAAATACTTTATAAAATATTCATACTTAGTGATTATTGAATTCAAGTTAATAGACCAAATTTTCTACACTAGCTTTATATTTCTGTTGAAGTTTAACAAATAAATCATATTTTAAGGATTTAATCGATTACATTTTACTAAATAGAATTATATTAATTTGAAGTTATAAAATTTTATTGTTTATTTGTTTGTTACTATATTTCATATCTCTAGTAGAATACTTAGATTTCTAAAGATCTATTATTAATAAAATGTTTGTAAAAATGTACTAATAATAATTGTAGGTCAATTTTGTCTACATAATTTTATTTATAAGTTTAAGTTTCGGCCCCCTCGGTTCAAATGGTTGTGTTCCGCTTCTGCAGGATAATTTAACAAAGTTAATACACTATTTAAGAGAGGTCGAACAAAGAAAATAACATAAGAAGGATAATAGATAAAAGGAAGGTTTACTCTATGTTACAAAATTTAAAATCGACCATAAAAATTTAGAATTCAAAATTTGTGTATTTAATATCGAGATTTGTGTTTTTGAGAGAACAAATATATCTGATGCGCACGGACAAGGTTTGAAAACTCAAACCTTGAGTTAATACTTTAAGATCAATGTCTGCTTACTAATGAA